ATGTGGGATTGCCATATTTAAGGACACCAAATAAGGTGCTATCTGCTAAACAGCATCCTCATTTGGTATCTTTAAATATGGAAATCACACATACGGGCACCAATTCAGGGGATTATGTACTAAACGGCTAAAGGATCAAGATTAAAAAAGCCCTTTTCTTTTTTTCAGTTGTTTAGTAGATAAATCCCTTATTTGTTATCCTTATGTAGGATTGCAATATTTAAGGACATCAAATAATGGAGCTATCTACTAAACACATACACAGAGCTACACATAATCCGAGATATACACAAACACAATCACTGACCGACACACATACAATCACAGACAAACAATCACATACACACATTTATTAATTAAGAGGTCCACCCAGCCTCCCGACCTTGCTCTTGAAGGGCTGGAGTGGATCCTCAGTCCCTGGTGGTCAGTGGTTGCTGCTGGGATCTTTGTGCTCTTTCTGCACAGGTCCATTGCACGCCCTGTAATGATGCAGAGGCCGCAATGACATTATATGCCGACTGCCGGCTCACTGCAGGGCAAAGACCATCAGACACAGTCAGATGCACACAGTCCCACACACAGTTACAGGCAGACAGTCAAACACAGAGTCATAGGCAGACAGTCACACACACACACAGACACAATCACAGGCAGACAGTCACACACACACACACACACACACACAATCACAGGCAGACAGTCACACACAGTGACACACACAGTCAAAGACAGTCACAATCACAGTTACACACATCACACACTCTCTCACTTACAGTAAGCTTGGGCTGGAGGAGGAATGGATTCAGTCCCTGCTGTGCTGTAGTTGGGGAAGCAGGGACTCCTTTCTGCTTCCCCTCTGTGTGAGCAGTAAGAGGCTGCATTTAGCTCCGCCCACACATCCGGCTTGACTTCGCCCCCACGGCCGATCTGGCTCCGCCCCCAAATCTCAGTGCAGGTTTCCTGCTCCTGCTCCCAGCCCCTGCGTGTGTGAGCTGTGTCGGCTGCCCGGCACCCCTGCTGCTATGGCACCCGGTGCAGCCACACATCTCACAGAACCCCAAGCCTGGCCAGCCCTTGTGGCACCCCCCTGCCTGATGGCACCCGGGGCAAACCGCCCCCCCACTCCCCCTTAGTACACCACTGCTGGTGCAAGAATATGTTTGGGCCCCTCAATCGCAAGGGTAACCAAAAGATAGATCCCCATCTGTTGTCCAACTCCAACAATGCGTTGACAGCTGGGGCTCTACCAGTTTCCCATGCTTACAAGGTTGTATTTAGTACTGAGCAGTGTTTGAATGTAAGCATGTTTTGTATGGAGTATGTTTGTGTGAATGTTGGAATGTGTTTGTATGTGGTGTTGGCGTTTGCATTCATTTACGTGTAGTTTATTTTTAAATGCAGGGGTGTGTTTTTATATATATATATATATATATATATATATATATAATTTAGGGGTTTAACACAGAGGTGTATTTGTATGTAGTGTTGACGTTTTAATGCAGGGGTGTACTTGTTTATAGTGTTGGCGTTTTGAATGCTGAGATGTATGCACATGTACACATACACTGACACACACTGTGATACACAGACACACTGAAACACATGCAGATACACACACTGACAAACATGTACATACAGACTGACACAGATACACACACTGAAACATACAGACACACAGATACACAACTGGACACACATGCAGACACACAGACACAAACACTGACACATGTGGATACACAGATAAACAACCTGACTATATACAGATACACAGATATACACACACAGATACATACATGATAACATGCAGACATTCAAATACACAACCTGACAAACATGCAGATACACATACATACAGATACACACACTGACACACATAAACATACACACAATGACAGACATGCAGATACACTGACTAAATACAGATACACAGAGATACACATACTGACAGAGATACACAGAATGATACATTCTCTTCAACTTTAGTCCGGCCCTTCATACTGCAGTGCTGTTGAAAGTAGAGGAGCCCCCTCATCTACGTCCTGGGAGGCACCCTAAGGCGATTATACCAATATTCATCCTGCGAGTGTAACCCACTAGTGCATTATAATATCTTTTATTTCAGTGTTACACTATTATTTATTTTGATGTTTTTTGTAGATTTACAGCTGTATTCTACATTTTGTCGATTGTACCTGTTTTGTATCTATCTCTCTGTTATTGTATCTATATCTGCATGTGTGTCAGTGTATGTATCTGTGTATAACTATGGGTTAGCTCACATACAATGAGAAAAGATTTGGGTGGGCTGCTTCACACCAGGGGGCGACTTAAGTATGATAGAAATCTTTTTATGTAGGATGTGTGAGTGCTCCTAAAATCAAAGAAAAATCTGAATAGATATATCAATATTTAATATATATACAGGTGATACTCGAAAAACTAGAATATCGTGCAAAAGTTAATTTATTTCAGTAATGCAATGTATAAGGGGAAACTAATATATGAGATAGACGCATTACATGCAAAGCAAGATAGTTCAAGCCGTGATTTGTCATAAGTGCGATGATTATGGCTTACAGCTCATGAAAACCCCAAATCCACAATCTCAGTAAATTAGAATATTACATGCAGTCAATAAAACAAGGAGTGTACATAGAACAATATCGGACCTCTGAAAAGTAAAAGCATGCATATGGACTCAGTACTTGGTTTGGGCCCCTTTTGCAGCAATTACTGCCTCAATACGGCGTGGCACTGCTGATGTGTTATGGAAGACCAGGATGCTTCAATAGCGACCTTCAGCTCTTCTGCATTGTTCGGTCTCATGTCTCTCATCTTTCTCTTGGCAATGCCAAGAGGTCAGGTGAGTTTGCTAGCCAATCAAGCACAGTAATCCCACGGTCATTGAACCAGGCTTTGGTGCTTTTGGCAGTGTGGGCAGGTGCTAAGTCCTGCTGGAAAATGAAGTCAGCATCCCCATAAAGCTTGTCTGCGCAAGGAAGCATGAAGTGCTCCAAAATCTCCTGGTAGATGGCTGCGTTGACCCCTGGACTTAATGAAGCAGCAGATGACATGGCTCCCCAAAATCAACACAGACTGTGGAAACTTCACACTGAACTTCAAGCATCTTGCAGTGTGTGCCTCTCCATTCTTCCTCCAGACTCTGGGTCCTTGGTTTCCAAATGAGATGCAAAAGTTGCTCTCATCAGAAAAGAGGACTTTGGATCACTGAGCAACAGACCAGGTCTGTTTTTCTTTAGCCCAGGTAAGACGTATCTGATGTTGTATGTTGTTCAGGAGCGGCTTGACAAGAGGAATACGACATCTGAAGCCCATGTCCAGGATCTGTCTGTGTGTGGTGGCTCTTGATGCACTGACTCCAGCCTCAGTCCACTCCTTGTGAAAGTCCCCAACACATTTGAATGGCCTTTTCCTGACAATCCTCTCCAGTCTGCGGTCATCCCTGCTTCTTGTGCACCTTTTTCTTCCACACTTTTCCCTTCCACATAATTTTCTATTAATGTGCTTTGATACAGCACTTTGGGAACATCCAACTTCCTTCGCAATTACCTTTTGAGGCTTTCCCTCCTTATGGAGGTTGTCAATGATAGTTTTCTGCACAACTGCACAGGTCAGCAGTCTTCCCCATGATTGTGATTCCTACTGAACCAGACTGAGAGACCATTTAAAGTCTCAGAAACCCATTGCAGGTGTTATGGCTTACTTAGCTGATTAGAGTGGGACACTGTGAGCCTAGAATATCGCACCTTTTCACAATATTCTAATTTACTGAGATTGTGGATTTGGGGTTTTCATGAGCTGTAAGCCATAATCATCGCACTTATCACAAATCATGGCTTGAACTATCTTGCTTTGCATGTAATGCGTCTATCTCGTATATTAGTTTCCCCTTTTACGTTGCTTTACTGAAATAAATGAACTTTTGCACGATATTCTAATTTTTCGAGTATCACCTGTATAATACAAGCAAGTAATCACCATCAAAGTGTCTATAAAAACTTCAATCAAACATTCAAGGGTTTATCATCTATGTTATTAAGAATCTCTCAGATCACAAATCTGATCTGCAAAACTCTAAAGCACTCACTGATAAAATGTATCAAATAAATGTAGCAAACATCCGTTTGACACACTACAAACAATAGTATCAAAATAGTTATGTATTTTTTATTGATTTTATGTATTATGTATCTATGTCTGCATGTTTGTCGTGTTTGTATCTGTAACAGTATCTGCATTTGTGTCAGTGTTTGCATATGTGTATCTTCATGTGTGTTAGTGTGCAACTGCATGTATATCAGTGTTTCTATCTGTGTGTCTGTGTATCTGTATGTATATCAGTGTTTCTATCTGTGTGTCTGTGTATCTGTATGTATGTCAGTGTTTCTATCCGTGTGTCTGTGTATCTGTATGTATGTCAGTGTTTCTATCTGTGTGTCTGTGTATCTGTATGTATGTCAGTGTTTCTGTGTGTCTGTGTATCTGTATGTATATCAGTGTTTCTATCTGTGTGTCTGTGTATTTGTATGTATGTCAGTGTTTCTGTGTGTCTGTGTATCTGTATGTATGTCAGTGTTTCTGTGTGTCTGTGTATCTGTATGTATATCAGTGTTTCTATCTGTGTGTCTGTGTATCTGTATGTATGTCAGTGTGTATATCTTCAATGAGAGACTTTAGCCCACCTGCCATGTCAAGGCAAACCTCTCAGGTGGGTCCTACACTAACCTTTCACCCTGCTTCCTTGAGCTTGTGGCAAGTATATCTCTAATAAGACAGACAGTTTCATATACACCCCTACATACTTATTAACCCCTAATAAGGAACACCTGGGATGGGTGGCAGCATTGTAACATAGCTGTGTGATACAAAAGTGAATAGAAATAATAAAAAAAACAAGTCCTGCACTCAAACTCCCATCACTCCTGGTGGGCAGCAACGGCCATAGTACACATCAGCCCCAGTACACACAGTAAAAACCAAAGAAAAAAGTTACCCGCGCTCTTCCCAAATCCCTATGCATATTTAAACAAATGGAGGTTATTTAGTCTCTCATGGCCATTGGAGAAACTAAATAACCTTCATTTGTTTAATAATGCATAGGGATTTGGGAAGAGCGCAGGTAGCTCCAAATCTGCCCACAAGGAAGCAGTGTTTGTAGAGTTGATACAGCCTGTGTGTTTTGTGGATGCAGTGTGTTTGTGTAGTGGATGCAGTGTGTGTTTAGTGAATGCAATGTGTGTGTGTGTGTGTATATATTTGTGTTTACATGTAAGCATGTTTTTGTATGGAGTATGTGTGTGAATGTTGGTGTTTGAATGCAGGTGTGCATTTGTGTTAATGCACTTCCACACACACTGATACACTGACACACATGCAAATACATAGACACACAGATACAGATACAAACACACACACACACACACAGACACTCAAACACTTACACAGAATACACACACACTGATACAAAAGGACACATGCACACACACAAAGATACATACAGACACAGAGACATACTGAAACACACATACACACACATACAGACACACGCACAGTATGTGTTTGTGTGTCAGTATGTATGTCTAACATACATACAGACACACACACACACACACACACATGCAAAAGGATATACAGACACACACATACATACTGACATACATAGAGCCTGTATGTATGTCTATGTGTGTGTCTGTGTGATGCACACACATACATACTGACAGACACATACGCAGACACATACATGCATCTCATTTTTCAGCCACTCACCTGTTTCTTACCTTTTTGTTGCAGGAGGGTGGCTGGGGCTGATGGGAGTTGATCTGACTCTTCCTCTACATGGCGTCCGCTCTGTCTCTCCTCCCTCCTGGAGTGATGGCGGCCCTACAAACTATAGACACAATCATCCGTCAAACAAAACTACTGTCACGCACATGAAAACCTCCACAATTACACACTACTATCATCACACAGGTGCAGCCATCAGTATGTTCAAAGAGTGGACATTACACAGTTACCACTGTCTGCAAACCCAACTCCCATGACATACCTTGGAGACAGTTAAATTAGACTGGTGTGTGGAGACAGATGGTTAAAAAAAAATTTGGTAAGAATTGGGGAACAGATACAAGTGCAGACAGAAAAATACCATGGAAAAACAAAAAAGACAAACTACAGAGGCAAAAGTGATTGGGGAAAAAAAAAAAGGGATATTCTAGATGTGAAATATTTGCACCAGAAACAAAAAAACACTTCTACACTGTTTAGACCATGGGTCGTCAACCTGGTCCCTACCGCCCACTAGTGGGCGTTTCAGGATTCCAGATGGGCGGTAGGGATTTCCTCATTCGGAGAGATTGGGTGGGCGGGCAGGTGGGCGGGTGCGAGCCGGTTGTACCCCTGCGACCGGGTATCGCCATCACCATCTGCGGCCGCGGCCCGCTTCCGTCCAAGGGGTGCATCGGGTGGCCCATGCTGTCAGGGCCACCCGATGGATGTGGATTGTGAGGGGGCCCGGTTAGCGCTGGGAGCTTTAACTTGCGACCGGGCCCCCTGTGATTACATCACAGAGCCGGGAGGAAGTGACTGCACGTCACTCCTCCCAGCTAACACTGAGAGCCGCGCTGGGAACTCTGACTCCCATCCACCTGAGCCAAAACTGGACCGCAGGGAAAGTCACCCTCCTGCACCTTAAAGGTAGGAAACAGGAGGGTGACTTAAATACAATGTGTGTGTTTGTGTGTATGTGTCTTTGTATGTATGTCTTGTGTGTGTGTGTGTGTGTGTCTTTGTATGTATGTCTTGTGTGTGTCTTTGTATGTATGTCTTGTGTGTATGTATGTGTGTCTTGTCTTTGTATGTGTTGTGTGTGTCTTGTCTTTGTATGTATGTGTTGTGTGTGTATGTGCCTGTAGGTATGTGTGTCTTGTGTCTGTGTGTATGTGTCTTATGTGTGTGTATGTGTGCATGTCTGTGCGGGCGGGTGCGAGCCGGCTGTACCCCTGCGACCGGGTACCGCCATCACCATCTGCGGCCGTGGCCCGCCGCCGTCCAAGGGGTCCATCGGGTGGCCCATGCTGTCAGGGCCACCCGATGGATGTGGATTGTGAGGGGGGCCCGGTTAGTGCTGGGTGCTTTAACTTGCGACCGGGCTTCCTGTGATTACATCACAGAGCCGGGAGGAAGTGACTGCAAGTCACTCCTCCCAGCTAACACTAAGAGCCGCGCTGGGAACTCTGACTCCCATCCACCTGAGCCAAAACTGGACCGCAGGGAAAGTCACCCTCCTGCACCTTAAAGGTAGGAAACAGGAGGGTGACTTAAATACAATGTGTGTGTTTGTGTGTATGTGTCTTTGTATGTATGTCTTGTGTGTGTGTGTGTGTGTCTTTGTATGTATGTCTTGTGTGTGGATGTATGTGTGTCTTGTGTGTGTGTGTGTCTTTGTGTGTATGTCGTATGTGTTGTGTGTGTCTTGTCTTTGTATGTATGTGTTGTGTGTGTGTGTGTGTGTGTGTATGTGCCTGTAGGTATGTGTGTCTTGTGTCTGTGTGTATGTGTCTTATGTGTGTGTCTGTGTGTATGTGTGCATGTCTGTGTGTGTGTGTGTCTGTATGTGTGCCTGTATGTTTGTATGTATGTGTCGTGTGTGCCTGTCTGTGTGTGTGTGTGCCTGTCTGTTTGTATGTATGTGTCTTTGTATGTGTGTCTTGTGTGTGTGTCTGTATGTGTGCCTGTCTGTTATAGTGGGCTATAGTAAGTGGGCTACCTAGCTCAGCCTTCCTACTGGGCATTGCTATAAGTAAGGTTAAAAAATAGAAAAAAGGAAAAAAAAAGTGGGGAGGGGAATTGAGGAGGGAGAGGAGGGGAGCTGACACACAGATTAGAAATCATATTATGAGCAAACAGAGAAGTCGTCTGAATATCACCGAAAGAGGAGACCTTTGTTTGTTCCTTACGAAAATCGAACCAGATATCAAATATTTAGTCTCGCAGCATCAGCCTCAAAGATTAATCACTAGTAAAGGTAATTTCAATTTACTTTATTGTTTTCTCATTAAACTTTATAAAGTTAAAAACATTATAAACATGCATAAAGTAGAAATAAAAAGATAAATGTATGCACATTTATTTTTTTTTTTAAACTCCCTCCTTTCTAAAAAATATTCTGCATTTGCGCGAAAACTGGTGGGCGGTAAGGACATTTTTCCATCAAGAAAGATGCATTAGTGGGCGGTAGGTAGAAAAAGGTTGACTACCACTGGTTTAGACCTAATGATTGCATCTGTGCTCTGCTGCCACCTTGTGGAAACACTTGTATTCAACATTTTAATGTCATATAGAGTTTTTTTTTATTTTTTATATTATTACCTTTTTTTAAATTTATAACAACACATATAGCTGTTTTCCATTAAATATATAATCGGTTACATTGTTTTCCGTACTGGCAATTGGGAAATAATTATAGCTGAGTTGAATAATTTTCCAAGATGAGCTATTTTGTCTACCTTTTGTCATTCTGATTTAAGTTTGCTATTATTTGGAGTTTAGGAAATAACACAGAATAGTGTTTGTTCATTAAAAAGATCATGATGGCATTCTGTTAACTCAACAACCAGAGTTGTGCAAGCTCTTTGGTAGCCCAGCAGTGTATGTTTTTGTTTTTGTGTCTAGTTTTATATTTGTGTCTTTCAATCTCTGTGCTTTCTAGGTCCTAACTGGAGCACTGGGATATTTCACGGGACAAATATATAGACCATGTATTCTTTGCTTAATGCAAAACTAGCTTAAGGTGTAAAACCAGAACCCTAAAGACTAGCGTGAGAGGCTACTGATTAATGGCCTGGTCTACAAGGAGTCTTTCCTGCTATTTGCATTGGACATGCGCCATGAGATCCCATCTACACAGTGACACTTTGAAAAAAAACCCCGAAGCTCATATGCATACTTACCAAGTGTCCCTAGTTAGGAGGGACAGTCCCTATTTTTGGACTATCATTAAGTGTTCTTGCATAGCAAGACCACTTAATGTTATCTCACATATATTATTATTATTATAGCCAAATTTACAACCCTAACTCCTCCCACAGTTTTTACACTACATAGACAGTAATATACTTGTAACGGACCGTTTTGCACAAAAGGGGTAAAAACCGCTTAGACGATAATCCCCTTTCAGAGACAGGCACAGCTACTGTAGAATCACCAAAACTCACGAACTGAATACAAGTGAATGCTCCAAACTCTCGAACTGCATACAAGTGAATGCTCCAAACTCTCGAACTGCATACAAGGGAATGGTCCAAACACTCGAACTGCATACAAGTGAATGCTCCAAACTCTCGAACTGCATACAAGTGAATAAGGTAGCACTCCAAATACACGAACAGGAACCATACGAATTGCTGCTACCAGACAAACAGGAAAAGCTCCCAAGCGGCTTACACTCCTGGCAATCAGTCCTTAGCAGCATACAGTAAATCCCCCCAAAGACGAGACAGAGCTCCGTGTTGAGGGTCAAGCAGTGGTCTGTTTAATGAGAGCTACCTGCCCAGTATTTATGCAGGTCTCCCACCTGGTGGACACTCCCCTAGGGGACCAAATGGGAGACTGTGACAAGGGACAGACAATTAGACAAATAGGACACACAGTCACAGTATTTCCCACAATGCATCCTGGCTTCCTCCCCTCTGCCCTGGGAGACAATTGGGAAGTAACTCAATTATCTCCCAAGACAAAGGCAAAACTCCATTACACACGTGGGGACACAAAACCAGCATTATACTTTAAAATACACAAAGTAACATTTATTCCACAAAACACAGACATGTAACATATCCCCAGATAGCTCAGGTCTGAGTGCACATTATTAGGTGAATGGCACTCAGACCACACGAATACAGTTTAATCGCCATGGAGCCAAAGTCTTTACAGTCAGTTTCACACGAATGGGCTCCATGGGATTTCTATCTGGGGTATAACATATTTGAACAAAAATACCGAACACCGGGCCGTTCGTGCACTTTCACCGAACAAGAAGGGAGGTCGGCGGCTTCAGCGGTGTTCGCGCAAAACTGTGTCCGATTTTAGTTCCATGAAAATAGAGGCGAACACCGCTGTTCATTCGTGTGGTTTAAAA